AATTGTACTTACCTAATTGTGGTTTCAGGGGTCGAGACTCAGCTCCTGGCCCCGCCTCTTCACTGATCGCTACTGGGTCCTCTCTCTCTCTGCTTCCTGAGCTTTGTCATACCTCTTCTTAAAACTATGTATGGTTCCTGCCTCCACTACTTCACTTGCTAGGCTATTCCACTTGCTGACAACTCTATGACTGAAGAAATACTTCCTAACGTCCCTGTGACTCGTCTGAGTCTTCAGCTTCCAGTTGTGACCCCTTGTCCCTGTGTCCCCTCTCTGGAACATCCTATCTCTGTCCACCGTGTCTATTCCCCGCAGTATCTTGTATGTCGTTATCATGTCTCCCCTGACCCTTCTGTCCTCCAGTGTCGTCAGTCCGATTTCCCTTAACCTTTCCTCGTACGACATTCCCTTGAGCTCGGGGACTAGCCTTGTTGCAACCTTTGTACTTTCTCTAACTTCTTGACGTGCTTGACCAGGTGTGGGTTCCAGACTGGTGCTGCATACTCCAGTATGGGCCTAACATACACAGTGTACAGTGTCTTGAACGATTCCTTATTAAGGTATCGGAACGCTATTCTCAGGTTTGCCAGGCGCCCGTATGCTGCAGCGGTTATTTGGTTGATGTGTGCCTCCGGTGATGTGCTCGGTGTTATGGTCACCCCAAGGTCTTTCTCCCTGAGTGAGGTCTGTAGTCTTTGTGTGTGTGTGTGTGTGTGCTCACCTAATTGTAGTTGCAGGGGTCGAGACTCAGCTCCTGTGTGTGTGTGTGTGTGTGTGTGTGTGTGTGTGTGTGTGTGTGCGGTGTTCAGCCATTGTATACAGACCTAAACACCATGTATTCACAACTCACACATCTGTAAACACACACCTGTGTACATATGTAGATGAATATATAAACAAGTGTATATATGTATGCATATGTATGTATATATGTATGTATGTATGTATGTATGGGCAGGAGATAACTCAAAGAGGGGACGGTCCCCTCTGTCACAAAGAAGGGAGAAACACAGAGGGGAAGAAAGACGGGAGATGGCGAGGGGAAACAATGAAGTGGATGGAGGAGACGAGGGGAAGGAACAGAGGAGGGAGATAAAAAAGAAGGGGAAAGCAAGAAAGGGGGAGAGTCGTGGAGCGGGGGAAGAGAGAGAGAGAGAGAGAGACAGACAGACAGACAGAGAGACAGAGACAGACAAATGTACAGGTAGAGCGAGAGAGAGAGAGAGAGAGAGAGAGAGAGAGAGAGAGAGTAGAGAGAGAGAGAGAGAGAGAGAGAGAGAGAGAGAGAGAGAGAGAGAGAGGAGGAGAGAGAGAGAGAGAGAGAGAGAGAGAAGAGAGAAAGAGAGAGAGAGAGAGAGAGAGAGAGAGAGAGAGAGAGAGAGAGAGAGAGAGAGAGAGAGAGAGGCAGATAAACACACCTGTAGGTGTATCTTGAGTTTTATTCTTTCTAGGGCATTGCTCCTGAAGAAGCGTTTGCAAGTGCAGCATGAAAGGCCTAGAGCAATACCATTCTCCCAGGGAATCGAACCCGAGATATTTACCCAGCCTCCACTAGGCTGCCATGCATGGTAGCCTAGTGGACAAAGGCGTCGACAAATTTACCTAGCGTCTCGGGAGACTGTAAATATCTCGGGTTCGAACCCAGGTTAATTACAGAATTGTTATTTGCTTTAAAAACCACTTGTTCGTCTATGCATTAATATATGCATGCCTACATATACATATATACATACATAAAGATATGGATTAAATAGATAGATAGATAGATAGATGGATAGATAGACAGAGAGAAACACACGCCGAGGTTGAGAAGGGGACGAACGCTCCAGATAAGAGGAAGGAACCGAATAAAAGGGGAATAAGAAAGAGGGGAAGCGAGGAAGGGGAGAGATGAAAGGGATGATAAGAAAGGGGTGCAAAGGGAAGAAAGGAGAGGGGAAAGGTGGAGGAGGAATAAGATTAAAAAAGAAAAAAAAAGAAACAGAAGAATGGACGAGAGCCAAAAAATAGAAGAAGTAGAATGAGACGAACAAAGGAGTGAAGAAATAACAGAAAAGACGAAGAGGGGAATAAGAAACATCCGCTAAAGATAAGAAACAGAAGATAATTCCAGATAGAATAAACATCAAGAGAATTTAAAATAAAAGAGAATGGCAGAGAAAGGAGGGAAATAGGAGAATACTGGAGAAGCGAAAGGATAGATAAAGATAAAACATAATAAAAGAGGGAGAGGGGAGAGAAAGGGGAAACACAAGAGGAGGGAGTAAAGGGGGAACTAATGAAGAGAGAAGGTAAAGGAGGGGAGACATGCAAGGGAGGAAGGAGCAGGGAAGGGTGCCTGTGTGTTTATGCTGCTGCATGTATATCTCCATATGTATACGTATACAGATGTATGTGCGTATATGTATACAAGTGTATGTGTGCTTATGTATAGATATATATGAGTATATTCATAGATGTTTATGTATGTGTGCATATGTGCGTATATATATAGGTGTGTGTGTGTATATGCGCGTATATATAGACGTGTGTGTGTGTGTATACATACATACCGTGTGTGGTGTGTGTGTGTGACAATATTTATATAAGTGCATGCATATTTGTTTAAATATATTTTGCGCGAATAAATGTGTATATTTATATAAGTGTATAAAACTCTATGACTACTTATTTGTAGTTACATTAACGGCTGTGATAGTGGTGCTCCATCTGTAATATTTTAATTTTTAATCTGATTTATCCCATGAACTGCTTGGTGAACAGTGAAGTGGAGAAGTTTGGGAAGCTATGTAGTGGAGGCAGGATCCATACATAGCTTTAAGAAGAGGTATGATAAAGCTCATGGAGCAGGAAGAGTGACCTAGTAGCGACCAGTGAAGAGGCGGGGCCAGGAGCTGTGACTCGACCCCTACAACCACAACTAGATGAGTGACTGAAAGCGTAACGAGACTTGTCCATACATATCGTCCTGTCCAGGATGCCACCCGTCATAGTCGCCTGACACCCACTTACCTATTTATTGTTAGGTGAATAAGGGTAGCAGGTGTAAGGAGACTTGCCTATAGATCACACACTTTTCGAGAATCAAATCTCAGAACCTTTAATCTATGAACCAACTTCGCTGAGCTACTCAACAGATCATTCGCCCAGGTGAGTACAAACGTGTATGTCTATAAATATGTATTTAACCGTGTGTGTGTATACATTATATACATGTCTGTATAAATGAGTACGTATATTTACTGAATTCTGTTAGTCGCGATCGATTGATTAAGCCTCGGTTTCTTGGTTTAATAGGTTGAAAGGCCATCGACTACACGAGCATTATTAAGGCTGCAAGTCACCTCATTGCCAGTCAAGAATACGTTAATCCCTAAAAGAGTGGCTGAAATCTCAATGTACACCACGAGATATACATTTCTCTGTGTGTATACTCAGTGTGTCCCCTAATTCTAAACTACAGTGTTCTGCACAGTTGTATTGACCCGTTTATGGTCAAGATGAGGTCACTAAGATGAAGCCACAATATTTGGTTGTAGAAGGAGTAAGTAGATAGAAATATCTTGTAAAAGAGGTCGGAAATTATCTTCTCGCTTATAGTTACAAAATAATATAATTGTTTTCCTATAAGTGTGTGTGAAATGCGAAGGATCGATCCTCGGCAAAGGGATTTAACCTTCTGACCTCTCGGACGAGAGTGTTGAGCAACGCGACCCGCTCTATTGTTATACACTATATATGATTTAATATTTCTATCATTGCAATTTTATTGTTTACAAGAGCCCATACCTTAATGCTATTCGTAGTAAAGGAACTTAACTCAAGGGTAGCCACACTTTAGTGAGATGGAATCTACTTTTCCCAATGTTCTCCCTATACGATTATACTATATATATATATTATATATATATATAAACACTGATCTCTGGCTGAAGGAGACTCAAACCTACGAACCTTGGAACAAGGAACGCAGTGCTATACCAATCTACCCACACTGGACAATACCTTGGCGTGCAGCTTGCGCTACACGTTGATCCAAGGCAGCCAGCTTTCAGGGAGAAGGCTTACATCTTTTCATCTCATCCCCTGCATGCATCAGCCTTACTAGAGATTTTAACAATGCAAGGAATTCGCAAGAGCAGGAGAAATATACACAAACACTGATCTCTGGCTGAAGGAGACTCGAACCTACGAACCTTGGAACAAGGTGCGTAGTGCTATACCATTCTCACCACACTGGACCAATACCTTGGTGTCCAGCTTGGGCTAGATTTTGATCCAAGGCAGCCAGCTTTCAGGGAGAAAGCTTACAGCTTTTTATCTCATCCCCTGCATGCATCAGCCTTACTATATTTCGCCTGCTCTTGCTAATTCCTTGCATTGTTAAAATCTCTAGTAAGGCTGATGCATGCAGGGGATGAGATGAAAAGCTGTAAGCCTTCTCCCTGAAAGCTGGTTGCCTTGGATCAACGTGTAGCGCAAGCTGCACGCCAAGATATTGTCCAGTGTGGGTAGATTGGTATAGCACTGCGTACCTTGTTCCAAGGTTCGTGTCTCCTTCAGCCAGAGATCAGTGTTTGTGTATATTTCGCCTGCTCTTGTGAATTCCTTGCATATATATATATATATATATATAAAGAGAGAGAGAGAGAGAGAGAGAGAGGGAGAGAGAGAGAGAGAGAGAGAGAGAGAGAGAGAGAGAGAGAGAGAGAGAGAAAATTACCAAGAAAAATAAGGTGAATACATAAATATTTTGCCAGATAGACAAAACTACATTTTCATTAAATCTTAACCTACAAACAGATATACTGCTCGTTCTGTCATCTGCTAGAAACTACTTTGCGATTTACTGATAGATCGCGATTACCTTTCGGCTTGGCCTGGTCTAAGTGACATTGAAGTTTAGCGGAAACTGCTGTAAGTAGCATGTGAGGTGTTTATCAGAAACTTTAGCATCACTTGCTTACTACTGCTACCCTGCCTCCCCCCCACAACAACAGCCCCCCACCACCAGGGATCATCACCCCCCACACACCAGCCTCACCACATCCTCTTGCCACACACACCAACCATGAATTACAAGTTTAGCAATTTTACAGGAAAGCTAAGCGCCCCTTCTCCTCTGGAAATACCAAGTGTAAGTGTGGGTACGCTGCATCGTGCTGTGGGTATAGTGTATTATGTTATTGCCTAGACCATCTTGATTCATGGTAAAGTGTGTGTGTGACCGTGAGAACTTATGTCCGCGATGAGCCGACGTGCAATAGATACTCTGTTGCCATGCGTGTATTCTCAAACCTATGACCCTTGTAGGTTTAGCGCTTTTTTGTGATTATAATACTCAAACCTATCCTAGGCTATGGAGAAGACTTAATACCAACAATTAAACAAAAATCGTTCACACGACTTACTGTAGCATTCATGTAGACACATCTTAAATATCTGGTTCCTGATATGTTTCCATTGCCACCATTTTAATCTTATAAAACCAATTATGACTGCTGTTGATTTACTTATTTTATTAGTAAAGTATTTTTGACTGATGGTGAGCGGGTGACGCATTTAGACTGGGTTCGAAATACTTTAATCCCAATTAACCAACCATCTGACTATTCACAGAATTAATTAGATTAAGCTACACTGTTAACTCAATTGAATATATCTATTAGTCCATTAGAAAACAATTCAAATATTTTTTTAAGATAATTCGACAGTTTTAGAACACTCTGGGTATAAAGCACGTCATATATACCTGTATACCCGGCCTAGATGCCCATAACTAAATGGTTATAACTATGAACATAATTTTTAAAGGGGTGGACCGATAAGCCAGCGGAAGGCCTCGGTCAGATCTCCAAAAACCTCTAACGGCGGGTCATCACCTAAGACCCGCGTCAGGAAACACTTGTTTCCTGACAAATCTTACCTTACCTGAATACCCATTATCCTTCATGGGGAGGGAAGGGGAAGTGCCTTGAAACTCGGCCTTACCTCCACTGACCTTGTGAAATATTAAATTTAGGATAGATTCGATGAACGCCTATTCTGTAATATATCTTTTGTAGCTACATCCTATTTTAAGTGTGATGGTAGATCGGGATTAGTCAATAATGATATTTAATATTTTGTGTGCACTGAAATACAGCCGAATTTATATATGCAACTGACGTTCCTTATGTGCTTGATAATTCACGTTTCCAGATATATTTCTTTCTGGTCTATATATCTTTTTTCTTCAGAGTCGTGCAGAACAATAATTCAAAATGTCCTGATACACACGTGTTCCTTCACAATTACAGAAATTCGGCAAGGGTGCTGATGGCCCGACGATACAGTACATGCAAGGCACTAAGATCCAAGTTACTGACCATCCTGTACCTTCCAGAGGAAATTTCGCTCCTGTTCCTGAAGCTTTGAAAAAGAAAATGAGGCTCTTTCAGGTAAATATAATGAAGAAAATATGCTTTGCATAACAAGCTTTCATTAAGACAACGTTTCGAAACGTGTTGTCTTTGTCACTCTTAACGAGCGAAACATTGAGAATAATTATAACCATATTTTTAAAGGGGTGGACCGGTAAGCCAGCGGAAGGCCTCGGTCAGATGACGAAACGCTCCAGTGGCGGGTCATCATATGACTAAAACCCACGTCTGGAAACGCTTGTCCTGTTTCCTGACGAATCTTATCTAACCTAACCTATTGTCTCAATAAAAGCTTGTTCAACCAAGTGTTTTTCACTGTTATCAACAGCATGCCATTCAGGTCTAAATATTTATATTAAAACGCTTGTAAAGAGGCCGTTAAAAGCCCCTTGCCTTAAATCTTATCTAACAGGTGACTTAAAACTCAATGGTAATATTCGGCTTTAAATCGACGACCCGGGGTTCAATTTTCGGGTTTACCTGGAGAGAGTTCCGGGGGTCAACGCCCCCGCGGCCCGGTCTGTGACCAGGCCTCCTGGTGGATCAGAGCCTGATCAACCAGGCTGTTGCTGCTGGCTGCACGCAAACCAACGTACGAGCCACAGCCCGGCTGGTCAGGAACCGACTTTAGGTGCTTGTCCAGTGCCAGCTTGAAGACTGCCAGGGGTCTGTTGGTAATCCCCCTTATGTATGCTGGGAGGCAGTTGAACAGTCTCGGGCCCCTGACACTTATTGTATGGTCTCTTAACGTGCTAGTGACACCTCTGCTTTTCATTGGGGGGATGTTGCATCGTCTGCCAAGTCTTTTGCTTGCGTAGTGAGTGATTTTCGTGTGCAAGTTCGGTACTAGTCCCTCTAGGATTTTCTAGGTGTATATAATCATGTATCTCTCCCGCCTGCGTTCCAGGGAATACAGGTTCAGGAACTTCAAGCGCTCCCAGTAATTGAGGTGTTTTATCTGGGCGAAATGTGTGGGCAAATTTCGACACACCTACCTCAGCTCATTTACACGCTAAGAGGTGCTACCTACCTCGGCTCATTCACAGGTTAAAATTTCTATCCTACCTCAGTTCATTCACAGGTTAAAATTGCTATCCTATCTCAGCTCATTCACAGGTTAAAATTGCTATCCTATCTCAGCTCATTCACAGGTTAAAATTGCTATCCTATCTCAGCTCATTCACAGGTTAAAATTGCTATCCTATCTCAGTTCATTCACAGGTTAAAATTGCTATCCTATCTCAGTTCATTCACAGGTTAAAATTGTTATCCTACCTCAGTTCATTCACGGGTTAAAATTGTTATCCTACCTCAGTTCATTCACAGGTTAAAATTGCTATCCTACCTCAGTTCATTCACAGGTTAAAATTGCTATCCTATCTCAGCTCATTCACAGGTTAAAATTGCTGTCCTACCTCAGTTCATTCACAGGTTAAAATTGTTATCCTACCTCAGTTCATTCACAGGTTAAAATTGCTATCCTACCTCAGTTCATTCACAGGTTAAAATTGTTATCCTACCTCAGTTCATTCACAGGTTAAAATTGTTATCCTACCTCAGTTCATTCACAGGTTAAAATTGCTATCCTATCTCAGCTCATTCACAGGTTAAAATTGCTATCCTATCTCAGCTCATTCACAGGTTAAAATTGCTATCCTATCTCAGTTCATTCACAGGTTAAAATTGCTATCCTATCTCAGTTCATTCACAGGTTAAAATTGTTATCCTATCTCAGTTCATTCACGGGTTAAAATTGTTATCCTATCTCAGTTCATTCACAGGTTAAAATTGTTATCCTACCTCAGTTCATTCACAGGTTAAAATTGCTATCCTATCTCAGCTCATTCACAGGTTAAAATTGCTATCCTATCTCAGCTCATTCACAGGTTAAAATTGCTATCCTACCTCAGTTCATTCACAGGTTAAAATTGCTATCCTGACCTCAGTTCATTCACAGGTTAAAATTGCTATCCTATCTCAGCTCATTCACAGGTTAAAATTGCTATCCTATCTCAGCTCATTTCAAAGCTCAACCCAAGATATGGTATAAAAGTCTTTCCATTTCCTTCCCCAGGATTTCACCCACAAGAGTCTATTTACTGCTGTGTGTATAAGAGCAACAGGCGAAAAGTGACTATCTAATACAACTCGTCCAGTCTGGAAATTGAACCCTGGCTCCTTCGTTTATGAAACAAACGCTCTGTTTTCATTTTTATTATACTGAGGGGAGGTGCTACACTGGTAGGGATCATATCGTGCCTGTGAATGGGAAGTAATCAAATTTGATCTACTGAAGGGGAGAGTAGCTCTGCTTCCTTTTATCAAGAGCTCTTCACTAGCATCAAGGCACCCCTTGAAGGGAACACTCTACCATCGAACTACATATGACTTTCACAGTAGTGACTTTTATACGTATATAAACTAAATGCTGTATTAGGTGGTGGAGGCGTTTTGTTCGTCGGGAAACAGGACAGCTCACCGGTTTTAGATATATGGTTCCGTAAATGGTTACACATCTGACCTACCTTTATTTTCACCCTAGATAATGTACCACTACATATATTACACAAAACTATGTAATCATTTTTACAGATGCTTAGCGACCTACCAGTACACATTATAAGGGGTTTATTCATATATACTATACAAAACTATGTAATCATTTTACAGATGCCTAACGACCTGCCGGTACACATTAAAGGAGGTCCATTCGACAGGGTCCTCTTCGCTCTTACCGGAGCTATATGCTTCGTGGGACTTGTGGAGGTTGGCCGTGATCTTCTATGTTCTCTCCTACCCTCCCAAGGCCAAGGAATAATAGAGGAAACTAATGAAGTAGAAGGAAGAATCTGAAAGTCTTCAGTCTTCTCATCCAAAGATTTGTTAAAAAGAAAAATGCGTGTTCCCTTTTGTGAAGTTTATACTGCATAGTTATAAATATATATACAAAGGTTTGCTAGTCTCCGAGAAAGTCCAGAAAGCTATACACTGAGTTTGACTACATGGCATTATGTGTAATTTCTGAGAGATGCCAAAATCAATGTAAACAAATCATTCGTTTATTCATTTACAATCTTTGTGAAATTTTTTTTTCGGTAAATATTTCCCAACTTAGTTTTCTCATACAGTGAGAACATTAATGATATTCAATTATAGCTTCATATAAATGGATAGTATTTATTTAACGTATTTTTAAACATTGATGAAAAATTTGTCAGCATATACTGAAATAACGATGTAAATATATTTTCTAGTTTTCCTATAATTTAATTATAAATAATTCGTTCATCCTAAAATTGAATTATTACCTAGAGGATTGCACTAAGCTATGGATTAATTTCTCGAATTTCTAATGAAACTGTATATACATATATCTAAAAAGAATTTTCTTTAACCCTACAGGCCAAAAATATATTTAAAATATCATATTTCAGCATTTGTAATGATAATTCCGCATTTTATTGACTATAAAGCTTATTTTCAATCTTTTACTAATATTATTCATTGAAATATAAAAATTCACCCTAGAATTGTATTTAGGAACTGAACGACAATTAGGGGCAAAATATATATATATATATATATATATATATATAATATATTATATATATATATATATATAATATATATATATATAATATTTTGATAACGGAAGCTCGTTTGTAAATGTGTAATTTTAAGCACATCATTTTCTTTAGTGTCGAGGACCAGATTCAGAATCTTATGATTACTGGGATTCTCTGATATTTTTTACCAGACGACAAATCAGTCATTTAGCCTAATTTAACCCGCGGTAATAGTTGCACATGAACAGTATACAACACCGTCAAGGTGAAGAATTAGATACATGTGCAACGTCTGGGTATCTTTATATGTAGAGGTTTCGTCTTTTGTATATAGTTCTACAGTCTTTTCCCTTATTGTCTTGAATTTGTATTGATAAAGACACTGGGTAGCGAAACCTCTGTAAATATAGATACGCAGATGTTGCACGTGTCTAATACTTCACCAAGGTAATATAGTCCTGAGTCACCACAGTCAATAGATAGTCCTGTGATATTATTAATTTTAGGAATTAAAGTATCCTAAGCTGGTGGAGTACAGGTGACATGCAGCTATAATGACCCTCGTGTAGTCAATAGGCTTCAACAGTAGTAGTAGTAGTAGTAGTAGTAGTAGTAGTAGTAGTAGTAGTAGTAGTAGTAGTAGTAGTAGTAGTCAGTGTAGGCTGTAGTAGGCTGTCACAGTGACAACTTTCATTCCTCAGGCACAGTACTCCCCAGCACATTACTGTAACATTACTGAGTAAACTCTATTAACCAACCAACCGTTCTCCTCCGAGATGTTACACAGCTAACAAGCTTTCCAAATATCATAAATTCTACCCTTGTTAGACAGCGGAGTAAGAACACATAGATTTGTCAGGTTTAGAGCTTAGGAAGTGTGAGTTATTAAGACTGCAATCCTCCTAGCTATTAACATGGAGGGTAGGTTAAACCAATTAAATATACAGAAAATTAAATCCTAATGTATATACACTATGACCAGAGAAAGACACACCTTTCAGTGTATATACACTGAGGTGAACCTCTCAGTGTATGTACAGTGAGGTACATCCCTCAGTGTATGTACACTGAGGTGAACCTCTCAGTGTATGTACAGTGAGGTACATCCCTAGTGTATGTAACTGAGTGAACCTTGATAATCACCTGTGTACGGTACACATAATCCACAACTAACAAAGCAGGCCAAGTGTCTATCGACCAGTTCCTCTAACAACCACATACAGGCGAAGACACATGGGAACTTTTATGTAAATATGTTTTTTTTTCTAATTAGCTTAAATCATCCGTAATTAGTGTTATTACGATTTCGTGAGTCATCACTCCAATTGGTAAATTTATTTGAGTAGAGTCTTAGGTATTAAACTGATATTTACACTGAGAGATGTGTGTTAGGAAGTACTTCTTCAGCCACAGGATTGTTAGGAAGTGGAGTGACCAAGATGAAGAAGATGTATAAGCAGGTAAGTATATAATAAATATATATGAGAGTAGACGAGGCAGGTCCCAGAAGGCAGGAAACATGTGAAGACTGTCGTACGAGGTTAAGAGGCGGGGCCAGGAGCTGAAACTCAACCCTGCAACTCCACATAGGTAAATGTACACACACACACACACACACACACACACACACACACACACACACACACACACACACACACACACACACACACACACACACACACACACACACACACACACAATAGGCCAAATGTCTCACCGACAAGTGCCTTTCACAAAATGACACATATTACGTAAATTTAAGTTGCTGAGATAGTTTTGGTGAAAATTTAAATTTACGTAATATGTGTTAGTCACCATTTTGTCAAAGGCACTGGTCTGTTAAACACTTGATCTATTGTGTGGTTAGCATGGGCCTGTGTGTGTGTGTATGTGTGTGTACTCACCTATTTGTACTCACCTGTTTGTGGTTGCAGGGGTCGAGACATAGCTCCTGACCCCGCCTCTTCACTGATCGCTACTAGGTCCTCTCTCTCCCTGCTCCATAAAATACCTCGTCTTAAAACTATGTATGTGTGTACATTCACCTATTTGGAGTTGCAAGGATTGAGTTTCAGCTCCTGGCCCCGCCTCTTAACCTCGTACGACAGGCTTCACATGTTTCCTGCCTTCTGGGACCTGCCTCGTCTACCTTTATGTATTATATACTTTCCTGTTTATACATCTGCTGAAACAGTTTTGGTGAAAATCTAACATCTGGATACGATCGTTAATTTACGTTTATGAATTTATCAATACGTATTAACTGTTAGTAGAGCTGTTAAGTCCTGGCTATGGTAATAAAATATTTACATATTTAATCAGTGAGATAATTGGATGATTATAGCGTCAGTGAAGCTATAAGACAGCTTACCGCAAAGGAATTTTCAGCTCTTCAAGCACATTCGTCAGACATCGGGGATCATCTGCAACACGACATCAGTGTAACGAAGGAAAGTTTTAGACCAATGAGACAACAAGAAACACGGATGTGAAAGAACTTGCACAAACGTCTTCGACACCCAGTGAGAGAGATGAATCCACATGACGTCAGTAACCCTACAAGAACATCTAGGATGGATCCCACCCGGTGCAGCTAGTGGCATTAATCAATACTGCGAACGCAAGGTAAGACACTTATTACTCATTATAAAAAGTGAATTAATGTTTAATTCAATGGAGAAGTTGTTCTCCTATTCCTTTAGACTTGCTAAGCTAAATGAATGTCAGCAAATATTCACTCTTCAAGGGACTCCATAGATGATGGCGAAAAGTTCTTGGACCAAGGAATTTGAGCTACCTTCTCCTTCCCCGGATTAAGCCTTGTTGTGTAACCCTTTGTGGGTTTAGTGCTTCACTATGAAGATAATTTCAGGTTAGTTAATAATACAAGGGTAACCCAGAACTGTTCCCTTCTTGTAACTTAGCAAATTCTGTTGATCAATATATAATAATCGCGCAAAAATCAAATTAAAATTAAAAAGAAGAGGATAAATACTGAAAATCAGAGCAGACACATTCATCACCTTCAAAACTACCATTAGAAAACATCTTATCTCCCTGATACACCCCGTCAACTAACTACACGAATACCACCTGGTGGTTCACACTTACACTCGCTCACTCATTTGACCATAAACAGAAATATTAATCTCAATCTTAAAATAATGAATCCTGTGATACTCCAATACTGAAACTATGTACTGTGCCAAAACAAAAGCATTCACATTGCTAAACTCAAACTAGTATTTAGTCACTTAGACATAATACCAACTTACCTCATAATTTGTAATATTTTACAATTAAGAATAAAACTAAGTATGCCCGAAATGCCTAGCCATGCTAAGGGTTCTAGTGGTACACTCTGTAATCACAATTTTACTACATGTAAACCAAACAATAACCAAATTTCTGTAAACTCAGCATTGTAATCCTTATAGAAAATAAACTTTGAATTGAATTGAATTGAATTGAATTTGAATTGAATTGAATTGAATTGAATTGAATTGAATTGAATTGAAGAAATATGGAGTAATGAGTAGAAACATGATCACAATCAGCTTAGACTAGAAAATTATATAAGAGACAATTGTTTACCTGTGTAAGATTTTTTATGAATAATATAATATCCGTAGGACACGAAAAAGTGTTTCTTTAATTTAAGAATGTTGAGAGCCTAAAAAATAACTTCTTTTGAGATATTTAATTTTTAAAAAGGATAAACTGGTAAGTCAGCGGAAAGTCTCGGTCAAACCATGAATATATACACCATTAGGTGTGTCTTGCAGTGTATATATACTAAGAACTAACTTTGATAATTCTTTATTATTATTATTACTATAATCGAAACTAATCGCTAAAGATCTTGTGTATAAGAACCGACTCAACAAGACGGCACCCGTGATGGCATCTGCTGCCTTGGATAATAGAGAAAAACAAGTTTCTCAACAAGCTTTGATTATGACATCGTTTCGCTCTATGTAAACACCTATTAAGACACAGACTTGACACATCTCTACACAGAGCGAAACGCTGTCCCAATAAAAGCTCGCGACTTTCCTTTGTTAGAAAAGGGAAAGGTAGTTTTATGAGAGGGAAAGCTTGTGCCATGGCTCGGGTCACCATCGTGATAGAAAACGAGCATTGTATCAGTAAGTACAATACTTCTCTGGCGTTCTACAAATCTCTTTTATTTTAATAAGGAAAAGACACAGGGAGGAACAAGCTTTTAATGATCATCTTGACAAAGCTTTACACACAGCCAAATTTTATTAATAATGACAGGATCCCAGTGGAAATAAGCCACTAACCTTTTTTGGATTATCCTAGGTAATTTACACTATAATTGTATTTGTGTGCCTGTGTCTAAATAAATTTACTCTCCATCTTTATCTTTTATTTATTTATATTAACGGTACACATTATTATTAATAATTTTATTATTATTATTATTATTATTATTAAATTATTATTATTATTATTACATTTTCATTAGGCTGGACTTGGGTTCTGGAAAACCTTATTGAACTAAGTTGGAGTAACTTGAAAGGCTTTAATGCATTATGGAAGCGTCCTATTTGACAATGTTTTGAACGAGCGAAATGTAGTCGATTTATTCTAACGTTTTGCATGAGATGGGGTGTATTTATTCCAGTTTGTTGGTACTCGCACACCATTCCACTTATAATGGGATTAAGTTAGTGATTTTTCATTGATTAGTTTCATTTTTTAGGTAAGTGATTCAGCCACTATTAATAACAGTGATGTTTAGAAAGTAACTCTCGCTCTATCTATCTATCTATCTATATCTTTGTCTCTGTTTCCTACATTTCTTAGCCCCCCTCTACCTGTTTTCTTTGCCCCCTCCCCTTTTTTATCCTTTTTATTTCTTTGTCTCCCCCCGCTCTTCCCTCTGCTTGCTGTCTTTGTCTCTCTCTCTCCCCATTATTCTCCCCTCTCCTCCCTGTCTTTGTCTCTCTCTCTCCCCTCACTCACTCCCCCTTGAGGCCATCTCTTACCTCCCCTCGCCCACCTTGTGACTGGGGTGAGGGGGAAAGTAATCGTTGCTTTCTCCGTCCCCTTTCCCTTCCCTCTGCATCTTTATTGTTCAATAATAATGTCCGCCCTCTATTTTCTCACCTCTCTCTCTCTCTCTCTTTCTCCCTCTATTTTCTCACTTCTCTCTCATCTCTCTCTCTCTCTCTCTCTCTCTCTCTCTCCTCTCTCTCATTCTCTCTCTCTCTCTCTCTCTCTCTCTCTCTCCTCTCTCTCTCATTCTCTCTCTCTCTCTCTCTCTCTCTCTCCTCTCTCTCTCTCTCTCTCTCTCTCTCTCTCTCTCTCTCTCTCTCTCTCTCTCTCTCTCTCTCCCTCTCTCACTCATATTATCCAATGCTGATTATTATTTTGATCCTTATTTTCTATGCGGGTGGGAAGGATTGATGGGTAACTTAAGAAAACCCGTTTCCTTGCAGCCGCTGTCGCATCCTTTGCTTACATTTCAACGCGGAGATCTGCGACTCAAGGTGACCGTGGTATTCTCGATTTCCCCTCTTCCCCAATTCACTTTCCTCTTCCCTCACCCTCTCCCCTTCTTCTCGGACCCTCTCCCTCTCCCCTTTTTTGTCTCCCCTCCTCCCATATTCCCCTTTTTCTCTCCTGTGATGGAATAGAGCGATGAATGTCAGAGGTAAAGCCTTGTGTAACTTTTGCCAATATAAATAAATGCGTATCTTGGGCTCTAGCGTCATATACGGCTAATTATTATAATTTTTAATAATTATTATAATAAATATAATGATAATAAATTATTATTATTATTATTATTCCCTGGAGTACCTTACAGCACGTACTTCATTATTCTCCCTTCCCTCCTCCAAAGTCTACTGTTGTTACAGTGGAAAAGGTATACACAGTTTGCAAAGAGGAATTTTACTGGAACGTTTCGACAGTGTAACAAGTTTCACTCAATATACAGGGATGGACAACAGGCATATTTATACAAGCGTAGTCAATGAGGTCACGGCGTGGGTGCAATGAGAGACAGCGGCATTGCGGGAGGACTACCGCTCCTGTCAGTGATCTGTTTATGCAAATGAAGTTGGTCTAAGATTTGGTCAAGCTGAAAGCTCCTTGATTCCAACAGAGTCAGATTATTACAGTTCAGTGCCCTCGTATCTGCAACTCCAGAACATTTTCATGATGTTAAGCTACATGATAGACTAATGTGTTGAGCTAAAGCTCTTGGCTCTCTTCAAGGTATTATTATTATTATTATTATCATCATCATCATCATTACACTCTTGGGCGAACGTTAAACTTATAGAGGTCATACAGCAGATGGAGGAATGAGAGGCAGTCAGGTTCAATCCAAGGAAATGAAAGATAGGTTCGGTTCCTTGGATGATGAACCTCTCATTGGAATTAACTCTTCTCGTTCATAGTCTTATTTTATCATACACGCATATACGTATACATTCGCACACGTAACTGATATACATATGAATGTATTTGTCCAAGTATGCATCCGTTCACGCACATATGCGCACATACATATGTTGACATACATACACAAAAGCATGCATACATAAACATGCATATTCAGATACATACATTACATACATTTTTTTATAATTTGCTGTATTAGGGTCTTATGATCGTCCTTCAGTAGGGCGTGCTAATGGGATACGGGCATACCTTTCTCGTATTGCACAGTGACCGAAATAAATCTAACATTTCCTTATGTTGTTTCGACAGGTTATAAAATCAATGAAGAGGGAGAGAGAGAAAGAGGAGGGAGGGGGAAATGGAAAAGTGGAGGGAAGAGGAAAGAAGGAAGAACAGAGATGAAAGAGGGGGAGGGTTTGGGAAGGGAAGAGAGAGAGAGATTTTCTTCAATATATATGTGCAGCAAATTACATATATAAGTACAAAATCCTCGAGTGAATCATAATTGCTTCACAACCCAAGTTCAACATCTTGGAAACCTGGTAACACGACTGCCCTTGTTCTGCCGCGATTTCTTCCTGCACCTTAGTTCCTGAACCTTACTTACATATTGTATATTGCTAGCCTTGGCTTTCAATGTGCTGTTATATACAAATCGATTAGTCCAGTTATACAGTATTCCTCTCATCGTCGTTTAATTTTCCACACGTGGGTTCATTTGTGACACACTCAGATGAGTCATAAGGATGTTAGGAAGTATTTCTTCAGCCTTAGAGTTGTCAGGAAGTGGAACAATCTGGAGAGTGAAGCAGTAGAGACAGCATCTATGCATAGCTTTAAGAAGAGGTACGATAAAGCTCTTGGAGCAGGGAGAGAGTAGACCTAATTGTGACCAGCAAAAAGACGGGGCTATGAGCTGTGAATTGACCCCTACAACCACATATAGGTAAGCACATATAGGTAAGATAAAGCTCCTGGAGCAGAGAAAGAGTGGACCCAATAGCGACCAGGGAAGAGGCGGGGCCAGGAGCTGTGAATTGACCCATGCAACCACATATGAGTACAAACAATATTTATTATATATATATATATATATATATATATATATATATATATATATATATATATATATATATATATATATATATATATATATATATATATGGCAGTTTGGAGGGATATGTTGTGTATCTTTATACGTATATGCTTCTAAACTGTTGTATTCTGAGCACCTCTGCAAAAGCAGTGATAATGTGTGAGTGTGGTGAAAGTGTTGAATGATGAAAGTATTTTCTTTTTGGGGATTTTCTTTCTTTTTTGGGTCACCCTGCCTCGGTGGGAGACGACCAACTTGTTGAAAAAAAAAAATATATGTATGTATATATGTGTGTGTGTAGGAAAAGAAAAACACTCAATCAGCTTCTAATAATACAATAAAATATTTTACAAAAAAAAGAACCTTTGTATGAGGGAGCATGAGTGAGCACAGCTGATCGACCACAACAAGAGAAGCACAGGATACAGAAGCTCGAGTACATCAATTGCAGTCTGTTGCTGTGGACCTCTGGCAGTCGAAAGACCTACAACGCCAAGACGAAGAACTCTTGAGGTCAAGAGGAGAAAAAGATAAAATAAGAGAGTGAAGCATTATCATCATGTACTACGAGAAGGATACAGCCACTGGCCGGCTCTCCTCTTCTTCTCTCAAGACTCCCACTGTAAGTAATTTGCCGTCAAACTTGTCTATATTTTGGAGCATGTGGCCAAGAATAAGTTGCTTCTCTCTGCTTTCCACACAAATTGTGTTGCTAGGAAGCGCTAAACCCGTAGTGGTCATACAGCACTGAAATGGGAGGTATAATTAAGTATTGAGGTACACGTCCACATAAGTACAATTATCATACAGAGTAATAATGTGTAAATTACCTAGGATAACCCCCCAAGATGTCAAATCCCTGATATCATTGAGTATTCCAGGAGACAGGTTTGGTGACAGTAATAATAATAAATATTGATTGATAGCAATGATATAAAAGTATGCAACTGCTACTTGGGGGATTTCGGCCAGTAATTATAGTTTGAATTGCTCAATACTAAATTGGCTTTATGATTGATAGTATTTTGTTGTGCATTATTAAAAGATGTAACCTAACGAAACCTGATGTAACTTAACCTTACTCTACCATTGGTAGTTTACCTGGAGAGGGTTTCGGGGGTCAACGCCCCTGTGGCTTGGTTCATTCATTAGAGGTTCGCTGGTACTTATGTGGCTTGGTCTGAGGCCAGGTCTCATGGTGGATCAGGGTCTGATCAACCAGGCTGTTACTGCTGGCCGCATGCAGCTGATGTACGAACCACAGCCCGGTTGATCAGGTACTGACTTTAGGTGCCTATCCAGCGCCTTCTTAAAGATAGCCAGGGGTCTATTGGTAATACCCCTTAAGTATGCTGGGAGGCAGTTGAACAGTCTTGGGTCCCGGATACTTATTGTGTTGCCTCTCAGTGTACTTGTGGCGCCCCTGCTTTTCATCGGGGATATGTTGCATTTCCTGCCAAGTCTTTTGTTTTCATAGGGAGTGATTTTCGCGTGCAGGTTTGGTACCAATTCCTCCAGGACCTTCCAAGTGTATATTGTCATATATCTCTTGCCTGCATTCCAGAATCTTCAACCGTTCCCAGTAATTTAGGTGCCTTATCGTACTTATCTACCAGAAAAAATTTACACAAATACTTATTCTGTGGTTTACATAGATTGTATATAGTTATTGTAAAATATAAATTAATGCTTAAGTTCTGTGGAGTAGTAATCATAAACCTTAACCAACAATAGGTAAATAAAGCAAGTGTGATACTTACACTGTATTACATACTAAATAAAGATTTAGGCTAGGCTAGGTCAGGTTAGTGCTTACTGATAATTTTATTAAATTTATATTAGGAAGAAATCTTCACCAGAATATATTGGAGTGTCACCTACCTGAATGATGATCTGGGAACAGTGGTGAGATAACTGTCATAGAGGTGTCCTGTAGCTCAATTGCTAGTGCACTCAGCTCACACACTGAGGTCCATGGGTCGATCACCGGTACAGATGTAAACATAAGAACGAGTTTCCTTAGGGCATCTGCTGTCCATGTTCACCTGTCAGTAAAATAGGTACTTTTGTGTTAGTCGACTGGTGTGGGTTGCATCCTGGGGACAAAATTGACCTAATTTGCCTGAAGTGTTCTGCATAACAAGGGGCTTTCTGTATAGTAGTTTGTCATTGATTTCAGCTAAACTTGTATGCTTTATACATGTACTTATAGAAATAAACATTATTATTCAAAGGGGTGTATAATTTGGTTTGTTTAATACTTGATGTTTTAACATTAACTATGTTGATAATATAACAATTGTACAAGTTCATAATTGCGTGTTTATAGTTGGCTTTAAGATTCATGGTATTCTTACAATATATAAATACAGTCAGTAGCTTAGTGAGCAAATGCCTCTTTTCCGTATTAAGGATTGGTTCATTCCTTAAACAGATTTCATAAAGAGTGACAATGTGTGTGTAATTATTTTGAACAAAAGTACTGATTAACTGGTCCATCAAAAAAATTATAAATTAATTTAATTCAGTTTTGTTCGTTAGTGTGCAATATTGCAAAATCTATCCGTTTCTGTAAAATACACTTTCCTTGAATGAGGTTTTTTTTCTACATTTACCATAATTACAATTGAGTTAGTGTATTACTATAATTTTTTCTTCTGTAAAATACACTTTCCTTGAATGAGGTTTTTTTTCTACATTTACCATAATTACAATTGAGTTAGTGTATTACTATAATTTTTTCTTCTGTTTTGTAATATAGTGGAACCTCAGTTTTCGTGATTAATTCATTCCAGAAAGTCTGATGAAATCTGAAGCAATATTTCCCATAAGAAATAATGTAAATCCGATTAATCCGGTCCAGACGTCCATAAATATTAACAAAAAATACATTTTATAGAGAATAACTATAGTTTTTACATACAGAAAACAATGAGAAATAAATATAAATGACTAAGAAAATGGATAAATGAACATTTAACACCACTTTTACCTTTATTGAAGACTCTTGTTGGCATATGGAAGATGGTGAGGAGGGGAGAGGGAGGAAAGATTATTGTTTGGAAGGGGAATCCTTCTCCATAAGGACTTAAGGTATCGAGGCCCTATCTGGGGTTACTTCCCTTCTTTGTCTTTTACTGGCACTGGGAGCAGCTTGAGAGTCACTGGACCCGTCGCACAAAAAATCTGTCCAGAGAGGTCTGTTTCTGGCATCTCTCTAAGATTTGCTTAAAATGGGACAGGGCATTGCCATTGAACATATTGCAGATACGGCTTGCAACAGCTTTGTTAGGGTGATATTTCTCCACAAAACTTTGCAACTCATTCCACTTTGCACACATGTCCTTAATCACTGAAGAAGGCACATTCTCCCCTCTCTCTCCCTCCTCCTCTGAGGCAATTTCCTCTTGAATTCTATTATTTCTCGCCTTCTTTATCAAAGGGCTCGCACTTGGAACTTTCTTTGGCCCCATGGTGGCTTATTTAGCAGTCGCACTCAATGAACAAGCACAAAAAGCAATGGATTATTACTGTTTCGGATGAATGTGCGGGGTGATGCTTGCTCAAGGATAAACAAAGCCAGACTGAGTCAGAACGTGTGGGATGCAGGCAGACACATTTGGTACGGCGGACCACTGTCAACTTAAGGAAAACAACGGATGAACGAAAACTGGAACAAAATTTTGACAAAAAAAAGTCGTCGAAAACCGAATTCAGCAAAAATTAGGGCAAACGAAAACTGAGTTTCCACTGTAATTAGGTATTCTCAAAGGGGTACCTTTGAGAGGTTGCCTGAATTTATTTCTTGTCTTTTTTTCCACCCTCCAACTTTTCAATTTTATTTTGCTCATAACTTGAACACCTCATGCAGTTGACTTCAAATTTTCAATGTATGTGCGCAGTAATGAGGACCAAAACCCTGGAGCAATTGACACGTTCACTTGCCTTATGATCAAAATTGTTGAGCCCATCCCATTCTCCTAGAATGACTTGGATAACTTGGGAAATTCTCAGTTGCATACCTTCAGACATTCAAAAAAGGTACTGAAGAATTTGATGGGAAGGGAGAGAGAAATTCAGATGTGTATGTGCAGATTTGACAATTTTGTATGTGATATAGTATGAAATTTGTTTTCCTGTTTAATCACGGTAAATAATTTTCAGTGTACCACTTCTGAATAGCTTCAAAATTCAATGACTGGTGCATCTTAGGGCCAGGATAATACCTATTAAGTTTTGTTTGTGTGCAGGCAAATTTATTAGTGTACTAGTAAAATAAAATAAACTTGGAATCGGAATCCGTTCCATAACCAAAAAATTATTTGTCGGGTGTGGTTTCCTGAAAGTAAGGCTTACACTGTCATTGGGTGGAATAAATCCATATTTACCAGTTTTATTGAATAAATAATGATATTCATTTTATTCAATATACAATACTTCTGCTTGACTTCAGAATATTTGATGTGTTCTGTAAAAGTGATGATAACCCATAAGTTACGTGTGAGTAGGTGTAACTTTGACATTTTACTGAAATAGTTTACCTTGGAATTGTCATAATCAGGTAAATTACTTAAGAATGCCTTTTCTGAGTGGCTTCAAACTTTTACAGTTGGTAACATCTTTTAAAATGGCTTGTCACTGAGCTGTGTACATTTCAATTTGCTAATTTTATTAAATAGGCTCCCATGTCATATCTAGAGAATGCTTCTTCTGATTGGTTTCAGACACAAAATGTTGGTGTATCTTAATAGGAAGTATTTTTTTTATTAATTTTGGGTTTTGTGAGTGCCAGTTTGCCAAAAATTTCTAATTTTATTAAATTTGATTTTTTAAAAATATCAGTTTTTTCTTACAGTATTGTAGAGAATCTTAAATAGAATGTAAAAAAAAGGTAAACTGAAAAATAATTTTTTTTTTTTTTAATTTAACAAGAGGAGACTCCAATTTTTTTTTTCTGAACATTCTCATCTGCTTTCTTGCAAATTTTTGTCCATGATTTGAACGCTTTATTTGATGGGCTTCAAATTTTAAGCACTTGTGTAATGTACCTTGGGCAAGATTCACAGGACTATTTGCATGTGTGTTACACTTTCGGAACACTCGCAGTGTGTTGCTACACTGTTGTGTATGATGGTTACATTATAGGAACACTTGCAGTGTGTTGATACACTGTTGTGTATGATAGTTACATTGTGGGAACATTCGTGGTGCCTTATGCATAATGCTGCATAGGCCATTTCCCAAGTTTTGTTTTCATGTGATAGGTGAAGACAGGTCTCTCTTGATCTGCTTCAAAATTTCAACATTTGTGTATCCTACTTATGAAAAGGTTGGTTATCCTAGGGTTATCCTAGGTTCTCTACACATATGCTGCTATGTATGATAATTCTATGTAACTGTATTTGTGTATACCTGAATAAACTTACTTACTTACTTATCTTTAACATCTGTGTTCCCTCAAGACTTTTGTGAAAAATTTGCATGTTATGTACACTAAGCTTACATAAAACTTATTGTACTTAAAAGCTCTTCAGTCTTCCTTAGAGGAACGTTTGGATTGATTTGGCCTGTGCAAGTCCCAGTTATCATTTTTGGAAGAAATTGGAAAAATTGAAATTTGTAATGCTTTTCATGTGATAATTTCTGAATGTTACACCTGATAAGTTTAAACATCTTCATGCTGATAACTTGATGAAGCAACATTTGAGCGGCTTCAAGCTTATTGTGCTTATGTACTTTAGGATATAAGTTTGTTTGATCACTTTGAAAGGTTTAAATTAGATTTAGGTTATTTTTATTTGAAGAAATTTGAATATTAGTTTCCAAATAATTTACAGATGCCTCTTATTATTCCCTACATATCTTCAGTGCTGCATTATCTACTTGTGCTGCACTCTTCACTAATCCAATCACATGCATTGAGACACAGGACGGGTTATGGCATAGAGGAATGCCTTCCTAAGATAGTGCAGTGACTGAAATGCATCTACCGGTAGTTTATGTATGCCTTATTAACACATTGTATTCCACCTCTTTGTATAACTACATTACTATATTCTCATTTCATAAGTTCAGTACCAGTTCATTTTTGTACAACAAATAAATATGAAAATGCAATTAGTTGATGAAAAATTTCCTTCATAATGTTACTGTCAAGAAATGGCAACTGCCCTCCTCTCATTCCCCAGGTGCTGTACAACCCCTATTATTTCCCATTGTGCAGGTGCTGTACAACCCCTATTATTTCCCATTGTGCAGGTGCTGTACAACCTCTATGGGTTTAGCTCTTATCCATGAATGTAATAATTCAGAATGTTATTGCTACGCATGTAAATATTTTCAAACACATGAGGCTGGAAAGTGCATGAATCTTATTGTAGCCAGCTGGCTGAATGGTTAATGCACTGGCCTGGAGTTTTAGGACTCGTTCACCATGGGTTCAAATCCCACCAGTTCCATGGTTTGAAAAAGAAGTATTTCTCTGCCGGTGAGTCTTTATCATTTTATTGTTCCTGCAGTGATGTCATCAGCAGCTAGAAAGGCCAGTTTCTTGGCATAATTTTAGATGTTTTTTCATATTCATTTTCAGCTGAAGAAATACATTTTAATATTTTTATATTTTAAATTATATAAATTATATTTTTATAATTTAAATTATATTTTAAATTTATATTTTATATTTTAAATTAGGTTGGTTATCTTCGTGCAAGTTGCTGTTTTAACACATTTTTGAGTTGGATACATATTTTGCTTTTTGGCACACATTTTGGGTTGGAGCCATTTCCTCTTCAAATTGCTCCACTTGTAGTGCCCTTTTTTTTTTTGAACCAGACCACAGTTGCTTGAAACTTGATTGTTCTCTGTGTTTTATACTATTTGTACTTGTAATTGCTTCTCCGAGATTTTTTCCATTAAATTTGTACATAGTACATACAGTATTCCACATTTTAAAGTTCAGTATCCTCTCATATTTTATTATTTAAGTACAGTACTGGTATATGTGAAATGTTTTTGTCTTTTTTTTTCTGAAATTGCTGGAGATACAAAACATTTCTTGTAAATTTGTTGGTGAAATACAACCTTTCATACAGCATATTCTTTTTCTACCTCAGAATATGGGAGCTGTCCCAGAGACTCAAGGTATCCTCTATGCCCCAGGCACTGTATTTCCTAAAGAGCAGCCTCCTCATAGGGGCTTCTATGGTCCTGTTCCTGAAGCTCTAATAGAAAAAATGCGTTTGTTTCAGGTAAGTTTTGTAGAAAAGCATAGGATTAGAAGTCTTAATGATAGTTTTTAAATGTTGTGGAAAGCTGTACAGTGGACCCCCGCTTAACAATCACCTCCCAATGCGACCAATTATGTACACTGTAAGTGTATTTATGTAAGTGCGTTTGTATGTGTATGTTTGGGGGTCTGAAATGGACTAACCTACTTCACAATATTCCTTATGGGAACAAATTCGGTCAGTACTGGCACCTGAACATACTTGTGGAATGAAAAAATATCGTTAACCGGGGATCCACTGTATAGTGTGTATTTTACCCCACAAATCTGATAAGTACTGTACGATAATACTAATGAAGCAAAGACTGAAGGAAATAAGAGTATGTATTAAATATTTTTCTTATTTGTTTTATTTAAAAATGTTTTAAAAGGAAAATTCTTTAAGCTGGTGTTTTCCTAGTGGTTGGCTATTAGATTTTGGTAGGGAAATCCCTTTGTTCTCAAAAGTTTTCATTTATTTTTGTATCTACATCTGTTAAACATTATAATAAATTAAAGTGGCATCTTGAAGCACTTAATCTTGGATATGTTGGTGAAATCCCCTTAATTCTGTTTTGTGTAGAATCACAAGATGTAAAAAAGGTTAATTTGATGAAGGTTTTGTGTGTTCTGCTGTTGATACATTTAAAATAATATTTGGCATATTAGCTGCCAAACAGTTGCACAATCTTCCACTTGCAGGTACATTACTATAAAATAGTTGGAAGATGAATTTGAAATCTAATTAAAAACCTACTACCAATCACAATAGTAATTCAGTGACTTGTTCCAGTGTTAACTTAATTATTGCCTAAAATTCTGTGTAATACTGTATGAGCTTTGTTAAAATATTAGTAATTCTCCCATGTGATTATAATTTTTCAAATAGTTTTGATTTTAATATTGACAGATTTCTGAATAAGAATAACTTAAAATGAGAGAACTTCATTAGGCACTGTACTGACAGAGATTGTTCACTGTTGGGATGAAATGCAGTATTCGACGTAGCGATTAGAATTAGGGGCTCACATGTCTTGACTGCACGTTTCAGAGATGCCGTCAAAATTGTTGACTATATATGTATCCATTGAAAGGAAAGCACTGCAAAATTGTGCAAATTCATGGAAAAAGCACACTTCTCTGCTGTATTACTGCCACTTGCTAGACTGGCTATTTATACACTGCTCCCTTCAAGGAAAGGGAGGTTGCCTTGATGTCAGTAAAGGTTTCTTGAGCCAAGGAATTAGACCTATGCATCTATGGATCAAACCTGATTATATCTCCATCAGGTTCAGTATGACCTATATTGGTTTAGCAGTTCTCTGCGAATACAGTTATAATGAATAGTTTCGGGCTCTATTTGATGTATCCTTGTATCACATAAGCTTCATGTTTAGTGTCTGTCTACATTCCCTTGTCTTTGATCCCCTTCTTTGAAATAGTCCTCCCTTTTTAAATCTTTCCAGTATTTTCTATGTTGCAAGCATATAGTTTCGTTTGTTTTTGCCAAGTAACTTTTTGTTTTGTTTTATAACTTTTTTTCAGCTGTTCAGTATTTTTGGCATAAGTATATCTCTATATTCTAGCTTGTAATATGATTTTGAGCATTACATGTATTATAGTATGTAATCCAATAAATAGTATCCACAAGATAAATGTATTTGACAAGCAACACATATCTAAGCTGCACCATGACTTTTTAGATGTTCCCTTGTACAGGTATCTATATTTTATTATGTCACTGCATGACAGCTTTCAACAAACCGGCTAAATCCCACCAAGGTAGGGTGGCCCAAAAAGAAAAAGGAAAGTACTGTATGACATACCTTTGAGTAATATTTGAAAGCCTTTCTGGGACATTGTAGAGTAATAACAAAAAATTTTCTTAAAATTAGGTACCATAAACCCTCTGTATGATGAACTTTGGAAATACAGAACAGAATCCGCTTGGTCAGTTGATTTTTAAACAATAGTTAGTCCTTCGGTTATATAATTATCAATTATTGTTACTGTCATGGCAAAACAATCCCTTCTCCATCTGCTCTGCTGTGATTGTCGTTACCAGCCACCCTCCCATCCCCCCTCCCCTCCTCATTAGTCTGTTGTATGGAGCGTTTACAGTGTGACAAATTGCAGAGACCTTGCAAGGAAAACAAATGGTGATGCAACCTACCTGAATTTGGCTAAGGTATAATTTGATGAATGTGACCTTGAAAATGGATATTCACGTTTCTAACAAATATATCACATAAATAATAAATAATATATCACATAGTGGTAGTAAACAAAAAGTCCAGTCTCAGCAAAGTACAAAGTTCAGTACTGCAAGGCATGGTCCTGGTGCTTCATGGATTAATTATTGTTTCATGCTTAGTGTCTTTTCAAGGCAGGAGATATAGTGGAACTGGAAAATTTAGAGGCTGTATACTGCCTGAATAAAACCATTAAAACTTCTAAATTCTTGAGAATGCCTCAGAGCACTTGGATTGTTCTCTCTGAAGTGGAGAAGAGAGGGACACTGTACTTGATAATATATACCTGGGAGATACTTGAGAGCCTAGTCTCTAACATGCATACTGCTGTAATTTGCTGAAGTGAAAGATGTGGGAGAAAGTGTGGAGAGCGGGGAAGCTATGGGTATAATTAGAAAGCATTGTGTTAATAGCCATGGCCCAAGATTCTTCTGCATATTACCAGCATAGAACAAGGATAGATGTTTCTAGAACCTGGACACTTTCCTTTCACAAGTGCAAAATTAGCTAGGTTGTGATGACTTGTGGGTCTGCAGGCTGCTAGCACAAACAGCTTGGTTGAACAAGTAGTCAACAGGGAAGCTTGACCTAAGGGCAGGCATTGGGGTATAGAAAACCCCATGAATTGGGCATGGGTAAAACACAGGTGAGACATAATAAAGATTAAAAAGATTCATGATTAAATTATATATTGTTAATGAGTACAGGATGAATAGGATGCAACAGTAGACAGAGCTTTAAGTTATAGTTGAAATGAGAGTAGGTTTAAATCTGAAAGGTGTTGTGGAAAAATGAGATTTCTCACTATGGTGATGTCCAGAAGTGATACAAGAGTGGGAGATTCAAGCAGAGAAAGTGTAAGCTGTAGAAATGGACTTTGATTGAAGGGCAGAGGACAGGTGGAGTGAGGGATGACAAGATTAGGTGTGGGGTTGAAAGGGGTGAGGCTGATAGGTGACGGAGGGGACACTCCAATGGTTTGTTCATGTCGGGAGAAAGGATGGAAGGAGATTAAGTAAGATAATCCATAATAATGACATGTAGGGAGAACAATGTAGGGGAGACCAAATGTTAGTTGGTAGGACTGTTTTAGCTAAGACAGTTGCTGTTTCATTGTTGGTAGGTTGTAATGCCTTAGGTTGGATCAGGCAATGTTTAAAATAGTATTTGTAAAAATTTAAACAAAATTAACACCTAGGGTTTATGGCATACTGCTCACATTATGACATTCATGAGGAAGCACTAAACCCATAGGGGTCATGCAGCACCTGGGAGAATGGAAAGCATTCAGACCTGATGCAGGAAATTGGAGCACAGATCCAATTCCTTAGATCAGGAGCTCCTTGCCAGCATCCAGGAACATCCCTTGAGGGGTATACTGCTCATAGAATTTGTAAATAGATGCACAATAAACAGATGTTCAAGTGCTGCCGGGTTAAAATACACAGGGAAGTTTGTACGTGTATTTCTCAAGATCCCAATACTGACACAGTTGTATCATCATGGCTAATATAAATTTATTTTCTCTTTGGCAGTGCCGCAACAGCATCCCTATTCATCTGAAAGGTGGGCCAGTAGACAAGGTTTTGTTTGGGTCAACTCTTGTGCTTTGTGCTGTTGGACTTGCTGGATGTTTCCAATTTTTCTATGGAATGGCCTTTCCAAAGAAAAATTAAGAATTATTTAGTTATGAATTGTACATATATTCAGAAATGAAAACCTTAAAGTTAGCTGATGTGTGTTTCACAATCCTGTTAATCTTTTTATTTATAGTAGACACAAGGACAGGGTTAGTAATTATCAGCAAATGTCAAATAATTATGGGTAATATATAAATAAAGAAATATTTGTTCTGAGTTTCTCTTAAATTCTTTAGTATATGCAGTATTAGAAAATGCATGTCAGACTTTACCTGTGGGGTAAGGACAGGCAGGCAGGTAAGTGTGAGGGTGGGGAGGGGGGAAGGAGAACTCGCCTATGTAGTTGCAAGAATAGTGTCTCAGCTCCTGGTCCCAAAAGTAAGTGTGTGTGTGTGTGTGTGTGTGTGTGTGTGTGTGTCTGTCTGTCTGTCTGTCTGTCTGTCTGTGTCTGTCTGTCTGTCTGTCTGTCTGTCTGTCTGTCTCTGTCTGTCTGTACTCGCCTAGTTGTACTCGCTTAGTTGAGGTTTCAGGGGTCGAGTCCTAGCTCCTGGCCCTGCCTCTTCACTGGTCACTACTAGGTCACTCTCCCTGAACCGTGAGCTTTATCATACCTCTGTTTAAAGCCATGTGTGGATCCTGCCTCCATTACATCACTTCCTAAACTATTCCACTTCCTAACTGCTGAAGAAATACTTCCTAACATCCCTGTGATTCATCTGTGTCTTCAACTTCCAACTGTGTCTCATCTCTGGAACATCCTGTCTTTGTCCACCTTGCCAATTCCTCTCAGTATTTTGTATGTCGTTATCATGTCCCCCTATCTCTCCTGTCCTCCAGTGTCATCGGGCCGATTTCCCTTAACCTCTCCTCGTAGGACATACCCCTTAGCTCTGGGACTAGTCTTGTTGCAAACCTTTGCACTTTCTCTAGTTTCTTTACATGCTTAGCTAGGTGTGGGTTCCAAACTGGTGCCGCATACTCCAATATGGGCTTAACGTACACGGTGTACAGAGTCCTGAATGATGTGTTTGTATGTACTCGCCTAATTGTGGTTGCAGGGGTTGAGACTCAGCTCCTGGCCCGCCTCTTCACTGATCGCTACTAGGTCCTCTCCCTCTCTGCTTCCTGAGCTTTGTCATACCTCTTCTTAAAACTATGTATGGTTCCTGCCTCCACTAATTCACTTGCTAGGCTATTCCACTTCCAGACGACTCTGAGTGAAGAAATACTTCCTAACGTCCCTGTGACTCGTCTGAGTCTTCAGCTTCCAGTTGTGACCCCTTGTTTCTGTGTCCCCTCTCTGGAACATCCTATCTCTGTCCACCTTCTCTATTCCCCGCAGTATCTTGTATGTCGTTATCACGTCTCCCCTGACCCTTCTGTCCTCCAGAGTCGTCAGTCCAATTTCCCTCACCCTTTCCTCGTACGACATTCCCCCGAGCTCTGGGACTAGCCTTGTTGCAAACCTTTGTACTTTCTCTAACTTCTTGACGTGCTTGACCTGTGTGTGTGTGTGTGTGTGTGTGTGTGTGTGTGTGTGTGTGTGTGTGTGTGTGTGTGTGTGTGTGTGTGTGTGTGTGTGAGAGGTGTGTGTGTACTCACCTAGTTGTGGTTGCAGGGGTTGAGTCACAGTTCCTGGCCCCGCCTCTTCACTGGCCGCTAATAGGTCACTCTTCCACTTTGAATTTATACACCCTCTTCATCAATCTATCCCTCTTCATGCCCAAACTACCTCGATAACCCCTCCTAAGTTCTCTGAATTATACCCTTGGTGACCCCACATCAGCATTTAAATTTTTACACTCCAAATTCTTTGCACAACATTCACACCACACATTGCTCTCGAACATAGCATATCAGCTGCTTAACCTTCTTGATGCAGTGTTCAAAATCCATGCCTCTCACCCATATAAAAGTGCTGGTACCACTATACTTTGATGCATTTCCATGTTTTGCCTCCATATATAAACTTTTCTTTCCACAGATTTTTCATCACACCACCCACCTTTTTCTCAGTCATCTGTCCTGTGACTCATCTTGTTTGCCATATCCACTCCCAAATATCTGAATACATTTACTTCATACTCCCTCTAATCTGATATTCAGTCTTTTATTGCCTAGACTTTTTGTTACACTCATTACCTTAGCCTTTTGTGTTTACTGTTATGTTCTTTTGTGTACCCTCCCAAATTCATCCATCAATCTTTGCAACTTGTCTTCAGAATCCCCCAAAGGGTAATTGTGATAACTTGCACTTTCTATCACAGCCAATATCTTTTACTCCCACACCTCATCCCAACACCCTAGCATTCTTTCACAACCCCATCTATAAATATAAAACCTGGTGAAATCATGCATCCCTGCCCGAGTTCTACTTTCACTGGAAAATATCCCCCCCCCTCCTACATACCCTAACCTGAGCCTCATTCTCTGCATAAAAACTAAATGCTTTCACTAAGCTACCTCCTGTATATTTGCAGCCTCTGCCACATTGCTCCTTTATCCTCCTTATATGCCTTTTCTCAATAAATAAATGCAGCAAACAACTCTTTACTCTCATCTAAATACTGCTCATGTATATGCCTCAAGATCTGCACATTCCCAACCCTTCCTGACCCCTCCCTACTCCTCAGCAATCCTACTTTGTTTTACCCCTAACCCTTTCGATAATAATTCTACCGTAAACTGTACCTAGTATATGCAACAAGCTTATCCTCCAATAATTCTTACATTTCACCATGTACAAGAGAACTGTGAATGCACTCTGCCAATCCTTTGGTATCTTCCCTTCCTTCATGTAGATATTGAACAAACACACTGACTCCTACACTGTATTCCTACTTGCCTTTAACATCTCCATCTTAATCCCATCTATCCCATCCGCTTTACCCCTTTTCTTTTGCCCACTGCCTCACACACTCCCCACACAGCTACAGGCTTCTCACTCCTATACAATATTATTCCCGTGCATGAACTCACTGCCTCCCCTTTTTCACTAACATTCAACAACTCGTCAAAATATCCTCTCTATCTTTTCAGTAACTCCACCTACCCATCTAACATCTGTTTTTAACTGCAAAGTCAATTTGCTTTCTAGGCTTCCTCGCCTTATTGATATCCCTCCACAACTGTTTCTTCTCAGTAAAATTTGCTAATAAAAGCTTGCCAATTCTCTCATTTGTTCTCCCTTTGCATAACTTCACCACTCATTTAACCTCCCTCTTCCTCTCCATATACTCTGCCTTTCATCCATTTTTTTTTTATATTGCAAAAACATCTTATGCTATTTTATTCCCCTTACCACCCTCTTTACCTTATCATTCCACTAGTCATTCTACTTCCTACCTGCATCCACCCTTCTATACCCACAAACCTTTGCTGTGCATTTTTAAATTTACCCCATACCTCCTTGAACTCCTTCATTTCCAGTACTTCATTTGTTTACCCTGAATAGTTGTTCATATCTTTCTAAAACTGTCTCCTTCCTTCATTCATTTTCACTTCCCTCTTACCCACTGAGCAACAAAATCAGAGAGGATAACAGCACTGCTTATCCAGTATTGCGTCTACTATAGCCATTATATACGTGTGTATACACACTACAAAGCATATTTTTTAGGTATTTTTTTCATATCCATTTAGGTGAGCACTAGCCGTCTCAAGTATGTAATGCTAATCAGATTACAGTAAAGTGTCGAATGATGTTTAGCATTGATGGTGAAAGGTTCTTGATTCAAGGAAATGCGGCTACCCTCCCCATCCTTGGATCAACCTCCCATTTACCAGGTATATATTGTATGATATGGAAGAGGTACAGATTGTGATTTTAATGTTCACATTTGTGTATGAAAATTTACAAGGATTAAATACAAATTACTACATAAATTTCCCAGACAGAATAATGTTTTGTAAAAATTATTGATTTAAAATAAAAAGGATTATTTGTATAAATGTATTTCACCAATATGAGTCACTCAGTACTAGAGAGTAGAGGAATATCTTGTCAGCATTTCCATATAGAATCACTGTACAGTAATTCTAACTTAAAATCACCATAGTATGTAACAAGAAGCTTTTTCTGGGGACTGACGTTACAAAGTCACTGACTCGGCTCAAACCTTATCAAAAGAAAACCCTTTCAATACTTCCCACCCTGTATGCATCATTATATAAAGAATTATTACTTTACCTTATGATCATAAAGTTAATTGACTGGAGGTTAACAGGGAAATATGTTGCATTCAGTACCTTGAGCACCATTGAAGGGGTGTACCTTGATGCTGGTGGAGGGAGGATTCTTGATCTATAGAATTAAAGCTTACTTTCATTTCCTCATATCAAACCTGAATATCTCATATTCACCAGGTGCTACATGATCCCTAGCCTACAGGGTTATGCACTACCATGAGTACGGTACAATAATGTTTGAACAAAACTTGATTGACCACAAAAAATGGTCATTGCCCAATTCACTATATCTGCTAAGCTTCTGAAAGTACTAAGGAATGGAATATAGCTTCCCTTTCCTTGCCTTCTTCTTTCTCATCACCACCTCACCGTCATCCTTGAACTTAAAAGGGGCACTCAGTACAAAATGCAAGAGGACTACCAAATAGTATGAAAGGAATATATATAGGACCTAGGTGTAATAATGTCAGCTGACCTATCTTTTGAAGACCACACGAAAGCAATTGCTGTGAAGGCCAGGAAAATGACAGAGTAACAAATGAGAACTTTCAAAACAAGGGAGACAGTGCCACTGATGACACTTAAAAAAAAATTATTTATGGCCCATGTAGAGTTAAAGCATTTAAATTACTGGGAACACCTTAAAGTCTTGAATATACATTTTTGGAGCAGAGCAGAGAGAAATGCATAATAATATATATGTAGAAGGTTACTTGAGGGCCTAATCCCAAATCTACAGTGTAAAAATGTACTGAGTGAAAGATATGGGAGAAAATGTAAAAATCCCAGTGAAAAGCAGAGGCACTGGGGGGGGGGGGAGGACTAGAGTACATGATCAACATCCATGGGCTCAGATTATTTAACATCTGACCAGAACAAAATTCTGCCAAAACAAATGTAAA